GCGACATCGAGGCAGAAGATCGTGCTTTCCACGGTAGTCTAACTATCCGCTCGGATACTACATCTTCCCTCAGCCAGATGACCAGTGGAGGCATTCGCTTCCGAATCTTACCTACGCTGATGACTGGGGCCAGCGGTGCAGTCTGATCGGGCCAGTGTTTAAGAATGCATGGTGGTGGCGCGACGACGCGCTGTTCATCCCACCGCCCGTGCCCGCTCTAGAGCTCACGGAGGATGACCTAGAGGCGATGCTCGATCATTGACGCTGCATCGAGAGGGGGTCAAGTTTGAAAAAACTATGGGTGTTAAGGAGGGCGCGGATGATGATGATGATGATGATGAGGAGGAGGAGGAGGAGGAGGAGGAGGAGGAGAAGGAGCGGGAATGGACATGCGGGGATAGATCTCTCCCTCACTCCCCCTCTCCCCCCTCTCAAGCCCTCTCCTCTCCCCCCTCCCCCTCCTATCTTTCTGATTGCAGCTCTTTGCATGTGCTTGTGAAATTGCCTTTGGGTCCAGGTCCAACTCTGTCAATAGAGAGGCGTCCCATTTATGTTTGCGTGCGTGTGCTCGCTTGCATCCGCGTGGCCAGAGCGAGGTTGCATTGGCACTCCGCCCGTGACTCTCAAGTGAAATGCTGTCGCGGATTATTCCGACGGCAGTTGCTGAAACACATGCGCTGATGACGAACGCGTCGTTGTTTAAATCTCGATGGAACCCACAAAACGTAATAGGAGGAGGAGGACGGGGGAGCAGGAGGAGGAGGAGGAAGAGAAAGATCTCCCCAACCTTCTCCCCTCCTCCTCTCCCCTCCTTCTCCCTCCCTCCCTCCTCCTGCCGCTCGCTCGCCTCCTCTTCTCCCCCCCTCCTCCCTCCCCCCCTCGCCGTAGCCATTTTGGCCCGTATGGTAGCGGTGGCACCGCAGAGTGTCGCGCGATCCTCGCGCGTCGTCGCGAGGGCGAAACGCGGCGAGATGCAGCGCGTCGCGCTTGCAAATTTGGTTGAAACCAATGTAAAAGTTAAAAACCTTCAGATATGACAAAACACCGCGTTACATAATAATAATGATAGTTATGAGAATCCAACATAAATCATACAACCATATTATCATTATCTGGATCCTCTGGGGATTTTCGACGAAACTAAGAAATACCCCAAGAAATGCCCCAAACAGTTGACGAAAATATGCAAAAAGTAGCCCCCCGACTATTTTTGGATCATGTTTCGATTATTTCTGGTGTATTTTTAATTTTTCGTCGATAATCCCCCTGTAGGGGGACAGGCCCGACTTAGGCCCAGTGGGCCCTGGAGACGACAGGCCGTTTCTTTGCCTGTTCCGTTCTGCCGCTCTGTTGGTTGGTTCTGACGCTCTTTTTTTTTGCCGGTGCCGTCGCCGTCGTTTTCCGGTTTTGGCTCCGGTGTTCCAATCTTGGAGCCGTTTTCGTTACCGTTTCCGGTCGCCGAATTGTTGCCGTTTTCATGTTCAAGATCAATTTTCGCGGAAACGGTCAGAACATGGCCCGCCCATTGAGTTCCCGCGATGGCCGTTCTCTCCTCAGCTGGTGCCTTCCGGGGCGGGCCCGCTGCGGGTCTCAGGATAGCCCAGAGCCGATCCGCGGCGATCGGCGGTTGGGCACAGAGAGTGGTGGTCATCCCGTGGGCCCGCCTGCGTCGCGTTGCGTACCACATGTTTGAGGCCACGGCCTCCACGCCATGCCCTAACGGGCACGGGCGGGCTCCCCCGTGGAGCGTGCGCGGCTCCGGCGTTCGCCTCGCTTCGGGGCAGGGGTCGAGGGCTCGGGGGCCCGCGACGGGAAGCTGGCGTTGCGAGGCCGGCAGGCCAGGGGAGGGGAGCAGGGCTGGCGAGGCGGAGGAGGGGCAGAAGGCGGAGGGGGGGAGGGTGCCGGGAGGGGAGGGAGGAGGGTGCCGGGAGGGTGCGCATAGCGCTCGGAGGGAGCCTCGGTCAGGAGGGGGCAGAGCGCAGACGCAGACGTGAGCGCTGACCCCCAGGAAAGTGCGCGGGGGGTACCCATCCCAGAGGGCTCACGGAGGCTCGCGACTCCGCATCAGGGCGCTTTCGCATCCTAATCGGTCCTCCGCGGCACGCGGGACCAGCTATGCAAGTCTCCGTCGATGGTCGAAGACGTCAGCACCTGGCAAGTATGGGACATGGACGGGAAGACGGCGATCCAGAACAGGTGGAAGAGCATCTGGGAATCCTGGGAGTTGTGTCTGAAAGGGTGTGTGTCCCTGGGCACCTTCAGCAGGGAGGCTCGAGAACTGATGGGCCTGTTTTCCAGCACCACCACCACCATGAGTTGGAGGGGGGAAGGAGGCGGAGGATGAGGAGGAGGACGAAAAGGAGGAGGAGGAGGAGGAGGAGGAGGAGGAGGAGGAGGAGGACCCCCTTCCCACTCCTACTTCTGGTGCTGGCGGTGGAGAACACGCCCACCAAGAACATCGGGAACGAGGAGGGATGGCGAGAGGAGCTGGGCAGGGGGCGGGCAGGCGCCGAGCTCCCTTGAGCGCCATGCGCCTAATTACTCGCTACCGGGACGCCGTGGGCCGACCCGTAGGAGGCACGGGAAGAGGGAAGGAGGGAGGATGGCGGAGGAGGAGGAGGAGGAGGAGGAGGAGGAGGAGGAGGAGGAGGAGGAGGAGGAGGAGGGGGGAGGGGGGAGGGAGGGGGAGGGGAGGGGGAGGAGGAGGAGGAGGAGGAGGAGGAGGAGAGGAGGAGGAGGAGGAGGAGGAGGGCGGAGGAGGACGAGGAGGAGGAGGAGGAGGGAGGAGAGGAGGTGGAGGAGGAGGAGGAGGAGGAGGAGGGAGGAGGAGGAGGAGGAGGAGGAGGAGGAGGAGGAGGAGGAGGAGGACAGGGAGGAGGATGAGGAGGGGGAGGAGGGAGGAGGGAGGATGAGGAGGAGGAGGAGAGGAAGCCTCCTGCTTCTTGCGCCGCCGGGGGTCCCTCCTCCTCGCTACGGCTGGGCCCCGCTTGATTTTGATTTATTCCCGCCGGAACGCACCGCAGGACGGACGCGTCGGGAGCGACCTCTGACCACTCCTCTGGACCCGGGCTCCCAGGCCTAGTGTTAAGTCGGGCCTGACCCCCTACAAGGGGATTTTCGACGAAACTAAGAAATACCCCAAGAAATGCCCCAAACAGTTGACGAAAATATGCAAAAAGTAGCCCCCCGACTATTTTTGGATCATGTTTCGATTATTTCTGGTGTATTTTTAATTTTTCGTCGATAATCCCCCTGTAGGGGGACAGGCCCGACTTAGGCCCAGTGGGCCCTGGAGACGACAGGCCGTTTCTTTGCCTGTTCCGTTCTGCCGCTCTGTTGGTTGGTTCTGACGCTCTTTTTTTTTGCCGGTGCCGTCGCCGTCGTTTTCCGGTTTTGGCTCCGGTGTTCCAATCTTGGAGCCGTTTTCGTTACCGCTTCCGGTCGCCGAATTGTTGCCGTTTTCATGTTCAAGATCAATTTTCGCGGAAACGGTCAGAACATGGCCCGCCCATGGAGTTCCCGCGATGGCCGTTCTCTCCTCAGCTGGTGCCTTCCGGGGCGGGCCCGCTGCGGGTCTCAGGATAGCCCAGAGCCGATCCGCGGCGATCGGCGGTTGGGCACAGAGAGTGGTGGTCATCCCGTGGGCCCGCCTGCGTCGCGTTGCGTACCACATGTTTGAGGCCACGGCCTCCACGCCATGCCCTAACGGGCACGGGCGGGCTCCCCCGTGGAGCGTGCGCGGCTCCGGCGTTCGCCTCGCTTCGGGGCAGGGGTCGAGGGCTCGGGGGCCCGCGACGGGAAGCTGGCGTTGCGAGGCCGGCAGGCCAGGGGAGGGGAGCAGGGCTGGCGAGGCGGAGGAGGGGCAGAAGGCGGAGGGGGGGAGGGTGCCGGGAGGGGAGGGAGGAGGGTGCCGGGAGGGTGCGCATAGCGCTCGGAGGGAGCCTCGGTCAGGAGGGGGCAGAGCGCAGACGCAGACGTGAGCGCTGACCCCCAGGAAAGTGCGCGGGGGGTACCCATCCCAGAGGGCTCACGGAGGCTCGCGACTCCGCATCAGGGCGCTTTCGCATCCTAATCGGTCCTCCGCGGCACGCGGGACCAGCTATGCAAGTCTCCGTCGATGGTCGAAGACGTCAGCACCTGGCAAGTATGGGACATGGACGGGAAGACGGCGATCCAGAACAGGTGGAAGAGCATCTGGGAATCCTGGGAGTTGTGTCTGAAAGGGTGTGTGTCCCTGGGCACCTTCAGCAGGGAGGCTCGAGAACTGATGGGCCTGTTTTCCAGCACCACCACCACCATGAGTTGGAGGGGGGAAGGAGGCGGAGGATGAGGAGGAGGACGAAAAGGAGGAGGAGGAGGAGGAGGAGGACCCCCTTCCCACTCCTACTTCTGGTGCTGGCGGTGGAGAACACGCCCACCAAGAACATCGGGAACGAGGAGGGATGGCGAGAGGAGCTGGGCAGGGGGCGGGCAGGCGCCGAGCTCCCTTGAGCGCCATGCGCTTAATTACTCGCTGCCGGGACGCCGTGAGCGCTGGCGCGCGAGCGCCCAGCGGCGCCCCGAGACAGAGCCCGGGCACCCCTGCCGGGCTCGCTTCGATGTCTGCGGTCCGATTCGATTCGCTTCCGACGGCCTCCAAGTCCGACTCGATTCGACGTCGGGTTCCGCTTCGGGCTCCAGCCTCGCAGCGGAGGCCTCGGTTGTCGGCCTGCCGGTGTCTGCCTGCTCGACTGCTCCTCCCGATTCGCCTGCCGAGTTTTCCGCCGGTCCGCTTCCTTTCGACCGCCGATCCGGCTTATCGATTCGATTCTGGGCTCTCCTGCCCCAGCGCTGGGCCCCCCTAGCGGCGCCTCCGGAGCCCCCCATGGCGCGCTCCGCGCGCCAAGGAGGGGGTCAAGCGCCGGTCCGAGGAATCCGCGCGGACCTCAGAGTTTTCTGTTTATGTCATTGTTTGTTCCCCTAACTCTTGCATGTAGCCGTGTTCGAGCGCCCATCTGGAGGTGAACGAGGAGGTGCGGTTCGACCTCACCGCCCTGGCGCAGGGCGAGCTGCAGTGCGTGGAGTGCAACACCACCGCGCTGTGTTTTTGCCTCGAGTGCAAGGACGCCCCCCTGGGCTCGTCCCCGCCGTTGCCGCCGTCGAGGTCCCCGGGCTTTTTTGGAAGGGATTTGCGCTTCTCCCCGCCCCTTCTTTTTTCGGGCGATCGCAGACATCGCGGAGATCCGCCGCCGAACGAGGCGACACCGGTCGCATTTTGGGGAGGGCACCTCCCCCGATCCATGTTTGCGCGCCCGCTCTTTTCCAGAGGCAGAAGAGGTACGTAACCATACAGTGCCGTTTTTCAGACATGCTCCTCGTGCGGGTCATGTATTCAAAATGCAGGGATTTAGTATTAAAAACATCGATGAGTTCATGCATCAATTTATTCCTTACTTAATAATGTATTACAAATCCCATATTTTTTACAAATCATATGTATCAAACGCTGGCCTGCAACCATACCTCTGCCCTTGCCTCGGTGTCGCCTCGTCGGCTCTCTGGGAGGCCCGCGTCGCCACGGCTGTGGATACGCCTGGAGCTGTGGTGGTCCGCACGCATCCCGGGAGCCCCTCCCTTACTCTTGGCACCCCATGTTGGGGCTGCGCTCTGGTCGGGCCAGACGAAAGGGGGCGTTGCGAAATCTGCTGCATGCAGCTGGTTTCGGCCCCGCCGTCGGGCCCATTCCTCTATACATGGGCGCCTCCCGGCGCCTGGAGGCGCGGGGACAATCAGCTACGTGAGCTGATTCTCAAACCCCCCCTTTGCTATCCCCCCCTTTCGCCCGGCCCGATCTGCTCCCGTCGTTCCGACTGCCGACCTCGCCCCAGCGCGGGCCGTTTTTGTTCTGGATCTCGGTCCCTCGTGGTCGTCGCCCCGCCGCTGACCTTTCCCCCGCATTCTTCCCTTCTCGGACGTCGTTGGTGCCGACCAGAAGGACGTGACATATGCGATGACGGAGGGAACCTGTGATGCCCGTTGCCGTCCTCACCACCCACCAAACCACCCCAACCCAACCCGAAGGCCTCAATTTGCACTCCATTTCCAGTGGGGGGGGGTCGGGGAACATCGAGAAAACACACATGGAACCCGTACCCCCCCCAACCCGAAATTCGGGTTTTCGGGTTGGGTTGGGGTGGTCTGGTAGGTAGTCACGTCCTGCCGCCGGCGTCCTGGGGACCCCCTGAGATTGGATCGAGCTCGGCTGGCAGTCGGGGAGGGGGGCGGGGGGGCGGCGGGGGCCAGAGACCGCGGCGTTGTCGCGGCAGCCGAGCCGACCGTCCGCGGGCGGGGGGCGCGTCTCGTGGGCGCTGCGGCCACCGCGGCGGGGCCGAGGCCGACGGAGGCGACCGCGGCCACGGAGCAGGTATCGGCGCAGAAGGCAAAGGGGACGTGCGTAGCATCGGGATGCCCTGGCCGGAAAATTGTGCCCCACCGGCGAAGGGAAAAGGCCGGGGCGAGGTCAATGCAGGAGGCCAGAGATGCGCGGGCGACGTCGAGCGGTTGGTGGATGGACTCTCGTACCGATCATCCCCTCTGCTCTCGTGCCGCGTGCGCCGGCGGACTTCCCCACAGCCTGCCCCTCGCACCCCCCGCAGCCGAGCTGGCGGGGGGGCGGGGGTGCCGCACCCTGGGGAGGGCCCCCTCCGGCCTTGCCCGAGCCTCTCGCAGCCGCGCCCTGCGGCGGCGCCAGGCTGGGCGCGGGCGGGCGTGGCTCCCGTCGTGGTAAGCGGTGAGGTCCTACATTTTGCCCACCTACCTTTGAGTCGGGCATGTCCCTCTACAGAAAAAAACGTCTGGGGGGCGACTTTTTGATAATTTTTGTTTTGCCATTTTGGGGTATTTTTTTGCCATTCCCGCCCCTCTCTTCCTCTTCTCGTTCTCCATTGTCTTCCTCCCCCAGACCCCCGACGTTGTGATTTTTTCCTAACGTCGACCCCCGAGGTCTCGGGCCGTTCCCCAGGACCGGCTCATCATCCCGAGTCGTTTCTTGACGGCCCCGTGGCCAGGTGAGGGCCCCCAAAGACGGGCAACGGCGAAAAACCTCCCGTCATGAACTTTGTCACTCCTCCTCCTCCCCATACCCGTCCTCCTCCTCCTCCTCCTCGTCCTGTTCCTCCTCCTCCTGCTCCTCCTCCTCCTGTTCCTCCTTCTCCTCCTCATTCTCCTCCTCCTCCTCCTGCTGCTCCTCCTCCCCCTCCCCCTCCTCCTCCTCCCCCTCCTCCTCCTCCTGCTCCTCCTCCTCCTCCTCCTCTCCTCCTCCTCCTCCTCTCCTCCTCCTCCTCCTCCTCCTCCTCCTCCTCCTCCCCCTCCTCCCCCTCCTCCCCCTCCTCTTCCTCCTCCTCCTCCTCCTCCTTCTCTTCGAGGGGGTCTAGGCTCCTCCCCGCCCGCAGGACTACCTCTGCCTGCGCTGCTACGACAGCCTGCACGGCAAGGGCCAGAGGCTGCTGCACTCGCCCTTCCGGCTGGTGCGCCCATATAGCCGCCGCCTCCGCGCCGCCCGCGCCGCCTCGGGGGGGAGGGCCGAGCGGGACACGTCGACGGCTCTCCTTCGGGAGGAGGAGGAGGAGGAGGAGGAGGGAGGAGGAGGAGGAGGAGGAGGAGGAGGAGGAGGAGGAGTAGGAGGAGGAGGAGGGAGGCCTCGGAGGAGGGCGGGGGGGGGAGCAGGAGGAGGAGGGGGTGGATGGAGGGGAGGAGGAGGATGAGGGGGAGGAGGAGGAGGAGAAGGAGGAGGAGGAGAAGGAGGAGGAGGAGAAGGAGTATGGGGAGGAGGAGGAGGAGGAGGAGGAGGAGGAGGAGGAGGAGGACACATGCAAATCTCGTTACTCGTACGTAGTAATAGTGATGATGCTGATACTCGTAGTGCTACTAATACGAATGATACCAAATATCAACTAACCTCAGTATTGCTACTGGTATCATTCGTAACATTACGACTAGTACTGTGAACTACATACTAAGTTTAGTACGAATGTGACTTTCACTAGTAAGATTAGCAATGCTATTAATAGTAGCGATACTGCGAAGAACACGAATATGGTTATTAGTGGAAATGGTAATACTAACCTAAGGAACAAGACTGATACTACTTCAAAGACGAATAATCATACCTATACAAAGAATGTTACTAATAGAAGGAGGAGGAAGAGAAAGAGAGGGAGGACGAGGAGGAAGAGAAAGAGGAGGAGGAGGAGAAGGAGGAGGGGGAGGAGGTCGCAAAGGAGGAGTAGGAGGATGAGGAGGAGGAACAGGCACAGGAACAGGAGCTTCGAGAAGGAGGAGGAACATGATCGAGGAGGATGAAAACTAAGAGGAGGTGGAGGAGGAGGACGAGGAGGAAGAGGAGGAGGGAGAGGAGGTTGAGGAGGAGGAGGAGGAGGAGGAGGAGGAGCAGGACGAGGAGGAGCAGGAGGAGGAAGAGGACGAGGAGGAGGAAGAAGAGGACGAGGAGGAACAGGAACAGGAACAGGATCTTCGAAGAGGAGGAAGAGGAACATTATCGAGGAGGAGGAGGAGGAGGAGGAGGAGGGGGAGGCTGAGGGGGAGGAGGAGGATGCGGATGATGATGAGGATGGGGATGAGGATGAGGATAAGGATGATGATGATGCTGATGCTGCCGATGATGATGCTGATGATGAGGATGAGGATGGTGGTGATGATGATGATGATGCTGCTGATGCTGTTGATGCTGATGCTGACGCTTCTGCTCACGATGATGCTGATGATGCTGCTGCTGATGATGATGTTGCTGATGATGAGGAGGGAGGAGGAGGAGGATGCTGATGATGATGATGATGATGCTGAGGATGAGTAGGAGGAGAAGCAGGAGGAGGAGGTTGGGAAAGAGGATGATGATGATGATGATGATGATGCTGATGCTGATGCTGATGCTGATGATGATGATGATGATGATGATGGTGATGATGATGATGATGATGACGATCATGATGCTGATGATGATGATGGGGATGATGGTGATGGTGATGGTCATGATGATGATGATGATGAGGAGGAGGAGGAGGAGGAGGAGGAGGAGGACTACCTCCTTTCTGTCACGAGAAGCTTGAGCGGTGTGCCGAAATGGGTGGCGGGGACGCATGTCTTGGGTCTTAGGTGGAGCTCTTTATGGGGACACGAAGCGTGTTAGCGGCGTGACGAAGTGGACGTGCGGGGTGCGCCGACACAGAGACATGTGGAAGGCAGAAGCAGGAGTGGGAGGAGGGAGGTGAAGATGACGAGTGAGGAGGAACGTTCCGCGCTGTCTCTTTATAAGCGGCTAAGATGCTCTGATCGAACACGCCTGCGGCGAACCACCGCCGCCCCCTGCCTTTTAGGATACGCCTGTGTGTCCAACCGTTTGGGAAAGTTTGGCCACGCTTTTGGATCCTGCGACCCCCCAGCAGTTATGGAAGCCCTTCGGGGAACATGCGGGGTAAGAAGAGGAGGATACGGAGAGGAAGGAGAAGGGCGGATGACGAGAAGAATGAGGAGACCTCTTGGGAGCTTCTTGAGTCATACTTGCGGCTTGCGTGGAGCTTCCTGGGGCCTCTTGGCGCCTCCTTGTTGTGGCCTCCTTGGGCCTCTTGGGGGCCTTTTGGGGGGCTTCTTAGGGTCCTCCTTGGCTGCCTCACGGCGCTGCTGGCACGTCCGACCTCGTCGGAGGCCATCCTTGGGAGCCTCTCCGGGCCGCCTTGGGGCCCTCTTGGGGCACTGCAGAGTCGTCTTGATAACCATCTTGGCCGTCTTGGGCCGTCTTAGGGCCCATGGGGGCCGTCTTCAGGGGAACAAAAAGTGACATAAACATAAAGACTCGGAGGTCCGCGCGGATTTCTCAGATCCTCGCTGGACCCCCCTGGCGGCGCCTCCGGCGCCGCCCCTGGCGCGCGGAGCGCGCCAGGGAGGGGGGTCCAGCGCCGATCCGAGAAATCCGCGCGGATCTCCGAGTTTTTATGTTTATGCCACTTTCTGTTCCCCTAGTCTTGGGAGCATCTTCCCTGCGGCAATCTTGGCAGCCTGTTGCGTGCCCCAGGTGCGATCTTGGGGGCCTCTTGGACCGTCTCGGGCCGTCCGAAGGCCGAAAATAAGGACATGGCAGCATCTTTCAACAACCTCGGGGACATCAATGCTTTTGGCCTCTTCGGGCCCTCCTGGAGGACCTCTTTGAGGCCTTTTGGGCAGGCTATGCCTCTTGGGGGCCTCTTGGGCCGTCTTGGGCCGTCTTGGAGGCTTCTTGGGCGGACTTTGAGGCATCTTGGACCCTTTTGAGCCGTCTTGGAGGCCGTCTTTGAAGCCTCTCTGGGCCGTCTTGGAGGCCATCTTGGATTATCTTGGGCGGACTTGGAGGCCCTCTTGGGGCCATCTTGGAGGCTTCTCTGGCCGTCGTTCGGTCATTTTGGAGGCCTTCGGAGCCATCTTGGGGCGATCTTGAGGGCCTCCGGCCTCCTGTGCTGTCTTGGGCAGTCGGAAGGCCGAAACGCAGCACATGCCAAATTCTTTCAAACATCCAAAGACCACTACTGATTTTGGCCTCTTCAGGCCCTCCTGGGAACCTCTTGGAGGCCTCTTGGGCTTTGTAGGAGGCTTTTTTTGGGCTTCTTGGGCCGTCTTGAGTCGTTTGGGATGCTTCTTCAGCGGACTTGGAGGCATGTCGGACGTCTTGAAGGCCTCCTTGGGCCCTCTTGGGCCGTCTTGGAGACCATCTTGATCTGGGAGGCTTTTGGAGCAATCTTGGGGGCCTCTTGGGCCGTCTTGGGCTGTAGGAAGGCCGAAAAGAAGAACATGCCAAAATCATTCAACACACCAGTGATTTTGGCGTCTTCGGGCCCTCCTGGAGGACCTCTTGGAGGCCACTTGGGCCGTCTCGGAGGCTTCATGGGGGCCCCTTGGAGCAATCTTGGGCCCTCTGGGTGGCTTCTTGGGTGGACTTGGAGTCATCTGGGAACCTCTTGGGCCGTCTTGGAGGCCAACTTTGATTATCTCGGGCGAACTCGCAGGCTATCTTGGCCATCTTGGAGGCAAACTCAGGCCATCTTGGAGCCGTCTAGACCATGAAAAACCTTCGCAACCACATCGACCGCAGCCTTCGAGGTGGCCGGCGGCATCGGTCGAAGCCCCAGGGGGCGTCCGGAAGCTAAAGGAAGCAAGAACCTCCCAACCTCCAGCACGTTGGGCACCCCTGTGGCAAGCCAACAGTGGGTGGCAGATCTAATGGCCTTCGGCCCATCCCGCAACCGTGCCTGGGTTGTGGGTGTGAAGCCTGTTGGGTGTTCGTCGGGATCTCGTGGAAGGTCCCCGAGGTCTCTTGGGGGCCTCTTTGGGACTCTTGGGGCCTCCTGGGCGCCTCTTGGGGCGTCTTTGAGGCCTCTTGGGGAGGAAGGCTCGGATTTTCGGATTGTGCTCCCTCTCTTGGGTCCCTTTTGGGGCCGTCTTGGGGCCCTCGTGGGCCGTCCTTGGGCGCCTTTAGGCCGTCTTGGGGGCCTCTTGGAGGCCTCTTGGGCCGCTTTGGGGTCGGAAAGCTGAAAAGGCGAGAACGCCAAACTCCTTCGCAAACCCAATGAGCATATCATTTGTGCCTCTGGAGGCTCTCTTGGGAGGCTTTCTTGGGAGGCCTCTTGAAGGTCTCCTTGGGCGTCTTGGAGGCCTCTTGGGCCATCTTGCGGTCATCTTGGGCGTCTTTGGCTGGTCTTTGGGCGTCTGGGGGCCCTCTTGGACCGTCTTGGGGGCTTCGTGGGGCCCTCTTTGCATGTCTGAGGGCCCTCTTGGGCCCGAAAAGTCATACGATAACACTTCTCGGAGCCCAGGAGTACACGTGGGAAAAAGACTCTCCAGGAGTGATGATTGCAGCTCAGAGGATTCAGGAGGATGAGGCGAAGGACGTGAGGACCCACCTACTCCGTGCCCAGAGGCACGGTGGTGGAGAATTAAGTTGCAACATATGGACACCGCACTTACATTGTACTGCTAGCTGGGGCTTAACTGGTTTGTAAGTCTTGGGGCCTCAAGCGCATCCCGGGATCCCTGGATCAGTGTTTTGTAGTGATTCGGAGCACCAGTCATAGGATTCGCTGGATCAGGTGGTTGGATCGCTGGAGAATTTGATCATTTTATCAGTGATTCTTATTTGGTTCCAGAAGGGGCCCCAGGGAAAGGGACTTTTGAGACGGGCGATGCAGATTTCTCAAGTCCGCTCGGCTTTCCCACAACGTCGCCGCGACGACGCTGTCACTCGCACTTTGCGAAGGGTCAAATTCAACACCGCGGTCTCAGAAGTCCTTTTCGCTGGCTTCCCATTCGGAAGCGTATCAGATTCAAGGATCTGGATGAGCAGATCACGGGATCAGACGTCTGGATCACTATATCATTTCACCGCCCCCACCAGTAATTACACATCTCCAGTCTACATCCATTCCGCAATCCGCAACGTCATTTGTTCTATTGCTGCTTGTATTATTGCGCCACAGGTTGTGTCACATGTTGCGCAGTGGTATTCATTGCGGCATGCACCCCGCTGGCCAAGAACATCTTCTGCTTTATCATTGGTTATGCCACTGTGCCGCAGAATGCGGCAGGCATTCAGCCATCCACAAAACCGTGTGTTTTAGTACGTTGTGGGACCTCCCTCAACAGCCGCCTGTTTAGTGAGAATCCTACTTCCCAAGATGCATCCTACCAGTCGCACCTCATAAATTGCAGTCCACACGTTGAGTACTCCGCAGTGCATGCTTCAGGCGCGGGTATCAAGTCGACAATTTGGAAGGCGTGCTCGCTTCGATACTTGCAACGGCGTAGGTGTCCTGCGCCCTGTGCGTCACCATGCCGGCCAAGCTGCAGTGCACTTTCACAGACAAGTCCTTGTGCCACCAGTGCTACGCCATGAAGCACATCAAGGCTCACTTTTTATCTTGTCGTCCAGTGGCACAGATGAGCAAAAAGAGTGGGCTACTGCAGTTGTGTCTATGTCGGTCAAGCAGGTTTCGATGTGCCTGAACATTTGGTTGTGTGTCCCAGTCTGGGAGGCATCATCTCGACTCGATCGGCGCAACAACAAACGAAGTCGCCTGCGCCGACGTTGTCGCGTAAGCTGCTCGCGTAAGGTCGCGCGTAAACGCCCTCGTCTCTAGTGTGATGGCGTGCCGCGCTGGCGGCCCGTGTAAGCTACCACGCAAGGTCGCTATGGCATCTTGCGTAAGACCCGTTTTTGATCGTCGCTCATCTGAGTCGGACGAACCCGTGGCCGTTTCTCGCCTCCCGGTCCACTCGTACAAGGGTTTGTTTTTTGTTTGCCCGCTCGAGAGAGTCGCAAGACCCGATCATGTTTTTTCCTCGACGACTGGGAGGTATCGACGATTTGTCGAATCCTCCGTTCAGAATCTCCTATGGGGAGATGTTGATCGGTCTCCGCGCACCCAGGTCCGAGCTTGTACCAGATGAGCAGTGCATCTGTGCATATGGGCTGCTGCATCCGCACGATATGCTCGCTCCTCGCTTCGGCATTTGAACACCACGTCGCATGGCCGTGTCGTGAATGCAGTCCCTCTTGGTGAGCCCTTGCGACAGGCAGGGAGGAGGACGGGGAGCGAGGAGGGAGAAAGGAGGAGGGACTAGAGTCCAGAGTGCACTGCGCACAGGGCATCGATGTTGGAATGTACCCTTCGAGATGCCCTCCGCAAAATCACGGAGATCCTTTCGGAGTATGTTCTCATGGTCTTACATTTCACACATGGTGCGATGGGTTGACGGGGTAAGCCCGTCATGGCGATGCCACAGGAAGTGGATTTGGGAGGACTGGTGATAACCTGATGGTTTGCACAAGGCGGAGGACGATTACTTCATAGTTCCACCTCGTGGTGTGCCCATACACTCTTGGTTGGACTGGGGACTGTCCTTCGTTCTCATGAATGCTCGGTTTCCGTCGAGCGGCTTCCGCTGCGTTGGGGCGAGAGCGCGACTTTATGTCGGCCGCCTTCCATCTGTCACAGCTTAAGATCCACGGTCGTAAACCCAGGAGAGAGCAATTTTGAAGGCGAGGCGCCCCACAACATTGTCAGATTTCAGTGAGCCTCCTGGCTAGAGTGCCTTTGGGAAGTCCCAAGCGAGGCCTCCATTTTGAACGCTGTCCGTCCTGAGTCCTTGTAGCTTTGGGACATGTTGAGCTTCTGACGCACTTTTCTGCAGGAGTTCCCGCTCGAGACGTGCGCTTCATCCGACCAGCACGTCTGGTGGCGCGACGGAGAGCTGAGAGGGTCGTGTCCGCTATGGAAAAATAATTGCCCGGGCGGTCGTGGTTTTATCCGTTGGCCTCCTCGCCTGTGGTCTGCACGCAGGCCCCGCCTGTAGGGCAGAACTGGCCCGGGGACGTTTTTTTTTACCTTCGCTTCGCGGTGTGAATCATCTAAGGAAGGCGAGCTGAATTAGCCAGCAACCGACCTTCGGGCCATGCCCAAAGCGTTGCCGGTGCAAATGCGGCTCCACCGAAGCCCGACCCCAGATGGGGGAGAGGAGGAGGGAGGAGGAGGGAGGAGGAGGAGGAGGAGGAGGAGGAGGAGGAGGAGGTGGAGAGGACTGGCCTGGGGGGGCAGAAAGGTCAGGACGAGGGACGACGAGCAGGCGTCAGGCGCGGGCGAGGGCGCGGGCGCGGGCGAGGGCGCAGAGGCGCGCGCGCGAGCAAGAGCAGGCGGAGTCGAGGGAGGAAATGGCCGCCTGGACCTGATGCTTGGCGTTTACTGCACGACGGCCCTGGGCGTTTGCACTGAACTCAGGAGGGAAAACACAAACACACAGACACAATTCATCGTCGACTCCCAGGAAAATATGGGAAACTATGGGAAGTGGGGGGGAGACAACAACCAAACAAAGATGGGAAAATATGGGGAATCCTTCTATTTGTGTGTGTGTATTCATTTGTGTGTCTCAGGGCCCCTTCACTGAACGGCCCTGCCCCGTTCGATTCCTTTTTGGGGGCGCGCGCTCACTGAACAGCTCGGCGCGTCGGGGTGGTTCTCATGGGGGGTGGCTTTGCTGCCCTCCACGGAGGGGCGCAGGCCGCGCAGGGCGCAGGCGTCGGCGTCGGCCCCAGGCCCCCGACGTCAGGAGTGCTTGATGGCGTCGACCCCCAGGGGTCTCTCCACCCATTCCCCGGGGAGCGGCCTTTCATCCCGAGCCGTTTTCGGACGGCCCCGAGGCCCTGGTGAGGGTATCCCCCGAGGCCGAACATGGCGACAAGCCTCCCGTCCCGATTCTGTCCTTGCCCGAGGGGGTCTGGGGCGCAGGCGCAGGCGTCGGCGGTGGACGAGGCGCGCGCGGCGCCCGCCTCCCGCACGCGCGGCCGCAGGCTTAGGTCGGGCGTGTCCTCCTACAGCCAGGTGTGGGACGGAAACAAAAACGGATACAAAACTTGCCCCAGATGGCCAAAGAGAGTGAAGACGCCCTCCCCCGACTATCTTTTTGTGCAAAGTGTTTTTGCATTTCCACCCCCGTGGCGGGACATGCCCGAGTCCGGCGCAGGCGCCGGCGCGGGCGCAGGGCGCGGGCGCAGGGCGCAGGGCGAGGCACGCGCGCGCCGCCCGGGGGGGGGGGGGCAGAAAGGTCAGGACGAGGGACGACGAGCAGGCGTCAGGCGCGGGCGGGGGCGCAGGCGCGGGCGAGGGCGCAGAGGCGCGCGCGCGAGCAAGAGCAGGCGGGGTAGAGGGAGGAAAAGGCAACCTGGACCGGATGCTTGGCGTTTACTGGCGAGGCACGCGCGCGGGCCGCCCGCCCCTCCTCCTCCTCCTCCTCCTCCTCCTCCTCCTCCTCCTCCAGCCGTTCTGGCACAGGTGGCGACCCTGTGCTTGCACGCGCGCGCTTCAGAGCGGCTCGCGCGTGCGGGCCATTCTTCTCGAACCTCTCAGGCCAGCGGGCGCGCCCGCGGCGGATGGGCAAGGCGTGGCAGTGCGGCAACTGTGCAAAGCAGCATGGCGGGGCGTTCGAGAACTACGGTTTCAGGACGCACTGCTACCGCTGCGGCCATGCCGCCCCGCGCTCGGCTCAGCAGCAGAGCTGGCCTTGGAGGTCGGGTTATGGCTATGGAGGAGCAAAGGCTGAGAGGCCGAACCGCTGGGCTGCGGGACCGCCCCGTCTCGGGCGCGGTGAGCAGAACGCTCAGGCGGACGCTCAGGCACGTACCACTGCAGCCCCTGGCGGGGACGCCAAGATCATCGAGACGGACCCTGCGACAGCGAGGACCATGCTGGCCAGCATGGCCAAGGCGCATGGCGACGATCGATCGAGCTGGCCTGACGACTGCAAGCAGCTCGTTGCCGTGCGGGACAAGGCTGTGCAGTCCGAGCCAAAGGAGGACGAGGTGTACCAGGCACCCGACTATGATAACATGTCATCGTTCCAGCTTGGCCAGCGCATGCAGGGGGTCACTCAGAAGCTGGACAAGGCCAAAGAACGACTTCGAGACCGAGAGGCAGAGCTCGAAGCAGCGTTGGAAGCCAGAGACGCCGAACGTGAGATCGTGCGCAACCACGAGAACAGCAGGCAAATGATCAAATAAACGCAGGCTGCAGCTTTCATGCGGGAAGCCGCCGAGGGAGGACACGCCGATACCGCGCATCCAGCTATTGCTCTCTGTGGGCAGGTGGCCAACCTGCAGAAGCGGTTGGGCAAGCCTGGGATGCTTGATGAACTCGCTGGGCCTCTCAAAGCGCTTCAGCAAGCGCTCGAGTTGCTCGACAAGCAGCTGGCCGAGAGAGAGCAGCAGCAGCAGCAGCAGCAGCGAGCGAATGTACACAACCAGATACGTCAGCCTGTGCATGCTGACGGTGATGATGATGATGATGCTGATATGGCTGCTGACATTCCCGTACCTGACGAAGCAGATTACGAAGAAGTCTTCGAGCAAGTTGGACTCAAGCTGGATGGGGTCGACTCAGACGAGGAGAGCAAGCGAATCAAGGCAGCCAGAAGCCGCATGCTCGAGACAATGGTTGCAGTCAACATGGCCGCTGTTGCAAAGCGGCGCAAAACCCAGCCCCCAGCTACTGAACATGCGCAAGACGGTCATTTGTGAGGCTGCGGGACATGGTCAAGTTGGCTGGGGGCTACAATATGACGTATTTATGCTTATGCGGGGCAGTGTGAAGCGGATTACGGAGGGCCTGAAGCAAGGTCTTCTGGACGTGCACGACGGGAGTGGTCGTAGAGGTGACGCAGTGGGCTACGGACAGGTGGTTCACGCTTTGGATCAGGTGCTCGTGCGTTTGGGAGTGCCTTTGGGAACTGGAGATGTCTCTAGTATTGGTGGTAGGGCTGAACCCTCTGAGCTGGCTGCCGACGGGCAGGTGGTCGTTGCCCAGTTCAGAGGCGATCCGCCCTGCGGGTCCTCCGACGGGAGGTCAGCCCTCGCAGGGGAGTGCAGAGGAGGCCCTGCCACCCATGAACGACGAGCACGCGACAGCGGTGGTGCTGAACCCTCTGGTCTGGCTGCCGACGGGCAGGTGGTCGATGCCCAGACTGGAGGAGATCCGCCCTGTGGGTCCTCCGACGGGAGGTCAGCCCCTGCAGGGGGGTGCAGAGGAGGCACCGCCGCGCATGGACTACGAGAGCGGTCAGATGGCACTGGGGAGCTCGATGCTGATGCTGCAGTGTCGACGCAATCGCGACATGAGAGAGACTGGAGTTTTGTCACGGTGAATATCACGGCGGCGCAGAAGGAAGCTGTCAATATGGTGCTAGTAGCCACAGAGATCACAGAGATGTTTCCTAACACGGATGGCATTTTGCTTCAGGAGCACAAGATTCTCAAAGGTAACACAGGAGACGCGCAGATGCGTCTACAGCACCAAGGTTGGAATTGCCATATACCGTTGGCTTACAAAGGTCAAGGACATGCCGCCAGCTCTGGAGTCGCGGTTGGAGTCAGACAAGATATTGCGCCAGCGGTGCCGCCTGACCTTGGGGGAGTTTGTGCACCACAGTGGAGATGGGCTATGCAATGGGTCGATGGTATGCTGCCCGGTGGGTTCATTCTTGCGTCCATATACTTGATATCAGGGCACAAGGTGCGTGACTATGAAGACGAGAACAAGCGAATCATCATGCTGGTGATGGAGCAGCTGCAGAGGCTAGGCAGGCCTTTCATCATAGGCGGGGACTGGAATATGACTCCTCAAGAGCTCACCGACCTTAACATTCTTGCGCAGGTACCAGCGGTGATAGCAGCTCCCACGCAATGGACATGTGCATGTGGAGAAGGACGAGTGCTCGACTACTTTGTGGTCAGCCAGCATTTCAAAGGACTCATTATGGATGTGGCCAGGATTGAGGGGCTCTCGATAGCGACGCATTGGGGTGTTCGGCTCTCGCTTCGTGTGGGGCCAGGTGCAGCTCTTGTACAACAGCTCAAGGTTCCAAAGAAGTTGCCCAAGGTATGCCCGCTAGGAGCAGCGCCCCCGCCGCCATCACATCAGCAAGTTCAGCGTGAATGTGAACATGCCACAGACCGTGAGGACCTACATGGGTGTTTCTCTCAATGGCATGCTTTAGCTGACCAAGAACTCGTTCGCCGATTTCAACTAGAGGATCGACGCGGACGAGCTTGCAGGGGGCGGGCACAGTTCACAGAGCCCGAATTCAAGATGGTGGTTGCGGTCCGCAAAGCGCCAGGACACTCACCTCCAGGAGATCCAAGGTCCAGACAGTGGAGGCGTGCTTCAATGGTCATGGTTGATCTCATGCATGCAAGCAAGCGGAGTTGGCCCACAGACTGCAAATTCATTCAAGACAGGCTTAACACCATGCAGAACCTCAAGAGCAAAAGGCTGGACATGGGCGAGGCTTGGGACATATGGTGCTACAGGTATGATAACGAGTTCAGTTGGGAGGATGAGTGGTTGCGAGAAGCTAGCTGGACTGCGGCGAAGGAAGCTACTACCTTGGAGGTAAAGCTTGCTAATAGCCGTGTGAAGCAGTGGCGCAAGTTGATTGCGGATGTGATTGAGAAGGGCGGTAAGCAGGCGCGCAGATGGTCTAAGCTACCCGCGATGTGGACACAGGCCGACATACACCCCACGCAAGGTGTGAGATCCCATGCGCTCCGTTTACAGTCAGACTTGGAAGAGTGGAAGCAGGTGTGGAGTTATCAACAGGGAGAGCGAAGTTTTGGTGAAGGTTTACGGTCACAGACACATGACGAGGAGGTGAAGATGTTAGATCCTGCGAGCATCAGGAAGGTGGCCACTACATTTAAGGTGAACACTGCTTCAGGTATTGACAACCTAGGCCCCAGGAATGTCGCCTTGCTCTCAGACAACGCGCTCACAGCCTTCGCCGAGCTCATGCACAAGGCCGGGGCCATAGGGGAGTTGCCACCGCAGCTCACCTACAACATCATGCCCCGACTCCCAAAGCCTGAGGGCGGACGTCGACTCATTGGGTTGCTACCTGACCTTCTTCGAGTATACAACAAGTACCACAAAACGGACTGGCTTAATAAGAACGGCAAGGACTACCACTATGCTGTTGCAGGGCGTAGTTCTGAGCAGGCGGTATGGTCGCAATCACTTTTTGCAGAAGTTGGGCTTGCTCTCAAGAGGCACACAGCAACTGTCATGCTCGATCTCAAGAAAGCGTTTGAAAAGATTCCCCATGCCACTTTATGGGACGTTGGCTGCCGACATGGTTTCAAGAGGTCAAGATTGGCGCTGCTACTCAAATCGTACGCTGGTGGGCGCATGATCAAGTATGGCGACGTGGTGTCAGGGGCGGTCAAGACGAATCACGGTGTCATTGCGGGATGTGGTTTCGCTACTACGATGATGATGCTATTCGCTTTAGGGGCTTACGAACAGGTGTACAAGTTGTGGCCGTCACTCAGTATAACGCAAGTGGTGGAAGATGGGAGCTTGCAAGCTACGGGTACTCACGACCAAGTTCTCAAGATTATCATACCAGCTGCCCGCATGCTGTGTAAGGAGTTGGTGGAGCTTGGACTGGAGCTAAGCCCGAGCAAAGGACGCGTAATAGCGACCAGCGCTCAGTTGGAGAAGCAGATTGAGGCGGCGCTAAAGCAGCATAAATTTCGGAGGCGTCGCAAAGTGCGACAGCTCGGTCATGATCGGACTTTGCGACAAGGATCAGGAGGAGAAGTACAGCATGCTCGGGTACTCGCCACATCTAGAAGAATTTCTCGGTACAGACGTCTGGCTATGGGTGGACGACAGATGGGACGACTATTCAGAGGAGGAGGTTTGGCGTCAGTCACCTACACTGTCAAGGTGAAAGGGATGTCAGATACACAATTAAAACAAGTTAGGAGCATAGCTGGTCATGCACTGTTTGGATCAGCGCGTGGCAGGTGCAGAACCATGGAGTTTCAACTATCCCACTGTCCCCGAGCTGATCCTACCTTTGCGGCGGATGAATATCCTGTGGTATATTGGCTCAGAGCGATGCACGGACAGTGGGTGAAGCACCGCGCGATGGCCTTGGCCTTTATGCAAGCACAGAACAACGGTGGTACATGGAGGAGTGTACGAGGGCCAGCGGGTGCAGTGGTGCTCACTCTCAAGCGACTGGGATGGAAGGCAACGGCGTGGGACTGTTGGCATACCGAACGTGGGATGAAATTAGATTTACACGACGTAGGCCCTGCGACGATCAAGAAGATAGTCAATCAAAGTACACAAAGACGCCTACTTCGCGAGATACCACATTCTAGAGGTATGGAAGGGCTCACTGGCCCGCCTTTGATTGAACCTGCCAAGCGCTTCATCGCTCAGCTCAGGGCACAGCAGGATTTCCAAGGTGCTGGGCTCGTTCGTACTTGGTTGGCAGGAGGTTTCTTATGCCAAGAGCGTTTGCATCAATTTCGAGCAGTGCATAGCCCCTTGTGTGCAAAGTGTGGGGTGGAAGCTGGCACGGATACTCATCGCATTTTTCGATGTGATTGGCATGCGCTAGAGCGTTTCAGTTGGACAGGGGAAGAACGTGCCTTGCTACGATGGGGACGTAAAGAACATGGGCAGCGACATCCTCACACAATGATGACGACAAAAGGCTTGATGGAGGACCCCACCTTCAACTCACCGATGCCGACCAGCGAGAACATAATCAACTGGCACAAGTGCACTGTTAGTGGACTCATCAGTGGTGTGGTGTGCATTGATGGCAGCTGTATTTTTCCACACTGTGAAGTTCGAGCACGCGCTGGATGGTCCCTTGTCATGATTGATGAGGCTGGTGCTACTGTGGCGGCGGCTTCGGGACCTGTACCGTATCCCTGGCAGACCTCAGGTGCCGGTGAAATCTGGGCCGCAACAAAGGCCTTGCAGCACAAGTCAGCAGGGCGCATCACTATTGTCACTGACTACAAAGATCTCAAAACAGCATGGACGTTGGGATTTCCATACGGGTGCCAGGCTGGGCATCAATATATGGAACTATGGAAGACCTTTTGGCGGGTTGCACAAGACATCGGAGTTGACGAGATTGAATTCGAGTGGATCCCGTCGCACATGGCGAGGAGCAAAGCTATTGATCAAGGAATCAATATGACGTACTGGAACGGGAACAGAAGTGCTGACTACTATGCGAGAATGGGGGCGGACGGCCACCAACGCGAGAGGCCCAGTGAGAAGGTCAGGAAGCTACGGGAGGCCGCTGTCCCGCTCACCTTGAGATGTGTGCTGCGCATCTTGCGGCTGTGTCAGAAAGGAGGATGGAGTGATGCACAGGTGAATGAGAGCAGCAGAGTAGATCGCAGTTCCTTTGTGGTCCTCTCTGAAGATGGAGGACATGTCATTCATAGGTTTAGGGGGCGATGGGTGTGCGGAAGGTGCGGAGATAGCCGTGCTCGGCGGTGTGACCTTGCGGGGCTCCCGTGTGGTGGTGACCCGAAAGGGGTCAGAGAAGCGCACCCGTCCCATAAGCTCTGGCGTACTGGCCCAATGATCTGGTGTTCAGAATGTGCTGCTAGGTGTGTCTCGCGGGCTTTTCTCATTTCTAAGCCGTGTTTAGGTAGGCCGCCCTTGGGTTCTCCGAGGCATTTCAAGAGGAGGTACCTCATCCAAGGGAAAGGGCCCTCTGGAGAGAAGGTTGGTTGTGGTTTCTACAGGCCTGTTCCAATCTTCGCTTGTTTTGATCGCTGTGTTCGGCGTGTCTGAGGTTCTTTTTGTGGCTTGGTGCATCGTTCTCGGCACACCTCGTCGTAATCCAGAGTCTCCATAGCCTCCTCCTCCTCCTCCTCCTCCTCCTCCTCCTCCTCCTCCTCCTCCCCCTCGTCCTCCTCCTCCTCCTCCTCCTCCTCCTCCTCCTCCTCCTCCTCCTCCCACCGCGCGGCGCGGCGCGCCCGTGCGGCGGCGCGGCGCGGCCCCCGTGGGGCCGGGGCGAGGTGCTGCCTCCGGACGGCCGGGAGAACCAGCCCCGGCGCATCGACTACTTCGAGCAGTGCTCTCGGGGCCGTGGGCTCGTGGCGCCAGCATCGCAGAGCGGGGCTCGCGCGGGAAGCGAGGGGATGGGCCTGGAGTGTCCTGGAGAATGTCGTTCCGGATTCTGGAGATAATTCGGCGATGCGTCGGCGATGCATCGCCGATGCACCGGCGATGCATCGTCGACGTGCGCGACGCACCGGCGACGTCGATGTGTAGCGACGGTGTGGGGATTCCGGGTCACCGCACGGCTTTGGGGCTCGAGTCCTCCTCCGAGGACGTCTCGCGCGACAGGGGCCTCCGGGGTCCCAAGACCGTGCGGTGACGGACCGTGCGGTGAGGTTTTGTGTGATTTCGAGGTCAACGCACGGTCTGTCACCGCTCCGTTTCGGGACTCCAAAAGTGCTCTCGGGGCCGTGGGCTAATGGCGCCAGCATCGCAGAGCGGGTCTCGCTCGGGAAGCGAGGGGATGGGCCGGGAGTGTCCTGGAGAATTTCGTTCCGGATTTTGAGGTTTTCTTTTGGCCAGGGGTGAAGACTACAGGGGTTGTGCCTAGATGGGGTCGGAGTAGATGGGGTCGGAGGATCGCGCCGCATCGCCGAGGCATCGCTGGTGCGGCCAGATGTGGGGCTCGAGTTTTGCTACACGTCGACGTCGCCGGTGCGTCGCCCACGACGTCGACGATGCATCGCCGGTGCATCGGCGATGCATCGCCGACGCATTGCCGATTTGCCGATTTATCGGCGATGCGGCGCGATCCCCCGAACCCATCTACTCCGACCCCATCTAGGAGGCCTCTAGGAGAGGAGGTCACCCTTCGGGAGGAGGGCGCGGAGGTAAGAGCGCGTCGGTGCGTCGCAGCCGTGTCTGTGGAGATGAGCCGTGCGCCGCGCAACGGGGCGGCCTGCGCGGAGCTTGGTGGCCTGGGAAGGCGGATGCAGACATTCGGGCGAAGAGGGCTGTGCACATGCACCGAGCTTGGCCAGGCCCATCCTGGGCCCAGGATCGGTGCACCTGCCTTCCTGGCCAGGGCAGGAGGGCGCGTGCACCGTGCACCGATCCCTGGGCTCAGGGTGGTGTGCCTGGCCAGGAGTGGTGCAGGTGTGCACAGTCCTCTGCCCTCCAGCAGGTGACGTGGCCAGCCTGGGCGAGGCATGGACGCACTGGAACGACGCAGGCAGACGGCTTCGACTGCGCCGACGTTCGCGCGTGAGTTGTCTCAGGAAGGTCGCGCGTGAGCGCCCTCGTTAATGACCAGCGTGGGTGCCGCGCTGGCGGCCCGCGCAAGCCGCGGCGTAAGGTCGCTGTGCCATCTCGCGCGAGACTCGTCTCTTTTCGTCGCTCCTTTTGGGACCGCCGGGGCGAGACCGTATGTGTTTCCAGGGCCTGGCCCTCGCGTGGCTGGCTGCGCGGGCCCACTGCACGTGTGTACCCAGCGCCTGGTCTCCGCCAGTTCCGCGTGTATCATGGCCATGCGTGTTTACAGCGTCCTGGCTGATGGCCGGGAACTCCCACTTCGAGTTATCCCGAGAGCGCCAGGATGTCCAGTCGACGCCTCACTGGGCGTCGGGGTCGCACCGGCACGGACCTCCCCGCAGGACCCCTCCCCCACAGGGCGGATCGGGGGTGGACAGAACCCCCAACAGTGACCCGTCGATTAGTGAATTGTCCATTTTTGGTTCTCGAGAGGGCGCCGTGGCTGTTATTTTCCAGGCTTGCGCCCGCCAGGTTTGGGCCTCAGGTCGTTTTCACCAAACCACGTTTTACTAAAGGGGGGTCTGTCCATCCCCGAGCGGACCTCCCCCCCTCTTGTCCCCCCTGTTCACAGGGGGGACCACCTCCTGGAACCCGCCGGGACCCTCAGGGGGCGGTAATCTGACCCGGGACCAACACCCGTACCCCCTCCCCTACCCTGCCTCCCTCCGTACCCCCCCCCCAACCCTTACCGTCCCCCCCCCTAAGCCTTCCTCCCCGTCAGGGAAGGAACAAAGGGAAGGGAATCGAATTAACCACGAAGTTGTTTTACCTGTTTGTTTCCCAGTGTCCTTGCCCTTCCGTACCCTTACCGTACCCCCCCCCCCCACCTTTACCGTACCCCCCTCTAATCTTTCCCCGCCGTCAGGGAAGGAACAAAGGGAAGGGAATCGAATGAATCACGAATTGTTTGATCTGTTTGTTTCCCAATTTCCTTGGGACTGGCGACGACGACGACGAAGACAGCGACGACGACGAAGAAGACGACATCGTTTCACACACGCCGAGAACGGGTAACCTTAACCATACATAGAAAGAGGTTAACCATACATAAATAACTCATACATAAAACACTATACTAAAACACGATACTAAAACACCATATTAGAACACTATGTTAAAACACTATATTAAAACACTACATTAAACACTATGCTAATACACTATACTACGACACTACAGTAATACTATACCACTATACGCAGACATTGCACTAAAACACGATACTACTACACCATACTAAAACACTTCACTAAAACAGTATACTAATACACTGCACTACAGTAATACAACGTACTACCGTAGTGCATTATACTACAGTAATACACTATACTACTGAGTCCAGATCGCCCCCCGCGTTTGTCGGAGGAAGGTGATATTGGGTACCTTGGGTCTCTTGGGTATCTAGGGTATCTTGGGGATCTTAGGGATCTTGTGAATCTTGGGGATCTTGGGGATCTTGGGGATCTTATTTTCTTCGGGTTCTTGGGGTCTCGGCAATCTAGGGTCTCTTTTGGGTTTGGAGTATATTGGGGACCTTGGGGATCCGAGGTACCTGGGGTATCTAGGGTATCTTGGGTATCTTGTGGATCTTAGGGATATTGGGAATCTTGTGGATCTTGGGTGCCTTGGGTATCTTGGGTATCTGGGGGATCTCGGGGATCTTGGGTGCCTTGGGTATCTTGGGTATCTTGGGAGCGGGGCTAGGGGGAAGAGGAAAAGGACGGCTCCCGGCGACAGCCCCGCCGCGCGTGAGCGGGCGGGTTCGGGCGCGCGGGGGACGAACGCGACGAGAAACCGAGGGCAACCAAAAACAAATCGGCGACGAACGCTGCATTGCTTTTTCTGGGGAACGTGCTCCGACTCGCCCCCCCTCGGCCGGCCGCGGGGCAGCCCCCGCTCCTCGGGCGGGCGTCGGCGCCCCTGCCCATCCGCCTCGTGGGGCCGAGCTAGACCGCGGGAGCTCCGCTGGACCTACGAAAATCCCAATTCGCGCACAGCACAGCGTAGTCGCGTATTCGCGTAATCTGCTGGTGCAGTGTGACTGGGTCGGGTATCGGCGTGGTGTATTAGCGTAGTGTATTCGCGTAGTGTATTTGCGTAGTGTTTAGTGCAGCGTATGAGCATAGTGTACTAGCATAGTGTATTAGTGTAGTGTATTGGCGTATGTATTAGTGTAGTGTGTTAGTTCAGTGTTTTAGTGTAGTTTTTTAGTGTCGTGTTTAGTGTAGTGTATTAGTGTAGTGTTATAGTGCAGTGTAGTAGTGTAGCGTATCAGTAGAGTGTTTTAGTGTAGTGTTTTATGGGAAGTTATGTATGATTAAAGCATACACTACACTAATACACTACACTAATACACTACACTACTACACTGTACTAATACACTATACTAATGCATTAGACTAATACACTACACGAAAACACTACACTAATACACTACACTAATACACGTCCACCAAAACTAATACACTACACTATACTTGTGCGGGTTCTAGTGTGTTGTGAGGTACGTGCGGTAGGTGGGTATTGTGTGTTAGATGTGTTGTGTGTGCGTCGTGTTGCGTGTGTTGGGCGTAATGGGTGTGATGTGTGGTTTGCGTGTGTGTGTGTGTGTGTGTGTGTGTGCGTGTTCCGTGTGCGTTGTGTGCGTTCTGCGTGTTGTAAGTCTTGTGTTTGTTTTGTGGTGTGTGTGAGAGAGAGAGAGAGAGAGTTCTGTGCGTTATGTGTGTTTTGCACGTCGGGGCTCGATGTTGGGAGGACGTCTCAAGCGAAGCGGCAAAAATCGGTATTAGTGTAGTGTATTTGCGTAGTGTATTAGTGTAGTGTTTTAGTGTAGTGTTTTAGTGTAGTGCATTAGTGTAGTTTATTAGGGTAGTGTTATAGTGCAGTGTAGTAGTGTAGTGTATTAGTGTAGTGTTTTAGTGTAGTGTTTTATGGGAAGTTATGTATGGTTAAAGCGCCTCCTCCACGCCGAGGGTCGGCGGATTTCTTCTGTGCGTAATCGAAAGGCGCTTACGGTGAACCAGCGCCCCTGCCTTTTGAAAATGCCAATATGGCTAAACGTTGGGCCGACGTCGTGCCAAGCTCGTGGGCTACGTGGTCCCCCAGCCGTTGTGCAAACCCTTTTGGCAACTCTTGTGGGAGGAGGAGAGGAGGAGGGAGGCGGAGGAGGGGGATGACGTGGAGGAGGAGTAGGAGGATGAGGAGGAGGCGGAGGAGGAGGAGGAGGAGAAGGAGGAGGAGGAGGAGGAGGAAGAGGAGGAGGAGGAGGAGGCGGAGGAGGAGGAGGAGGAGGAGGAGGAGGATAAGGGGGAGGAGGAGGATGAGGAGGACCAGGAGGAGGAGGAGGAGGAGGAAAGGGAGGCCGCTTGGCGACCTCTTGGGGCTTCTGGGGGCAGCTAAAAGGCTCTAAGGGGCTTCTTGGCCCGCGGATGTCGTCCTCGAGGCCTCCGTGGGCCGTCGCCGGGCCCTCTTTTTGGGTGCTTTAGAGCAGGCTTGGAGGTCTGTGGCCCTCCTGGAGGGCCTCGTGGATCCCTTTTTTGAGTAGGAGATCGACAACAGAATGGATTTACCCCAAAATTGGCTTCCACGCCGAATATCAAACAAACTTACGTAGATTATTCTTGGATTCGCGAAAGGTCCACCAATTGTCTGTGGATTCGACAAGGAAAATCAATTCTGGGGTAAATCAATTCTGTAGTCGATCCCCTACTCGACTTTGGGCAGGATCGAGTGAGGGTTGACGAAATGGGCGGGGGGATCCGCATGCGATACCCTGCCGCTGAGACCTCCGGTGGAGCTCCCTCTGGCAGGTCAAAAGACGTCTCAGGGGGTGTGCCGGAATGGGCGGGGGGCATGCAACACCTTGCCTCTGATGTCTTCGGTGGAGCTCCTTTCGTGGCCACGGCACGTGTGAGAGATGCGTCGAACTGGACGTGGAGATGCTCTGCAACACCTTGCCTCTGAGGCCTTCGTTCGAGCTTCCTGTGTGACCACAAAAGCCTGTGAAGGGTACGCCGAGAAATGGGCGGGGTGGCCATGCAACAGCATGCAACTGATGTCTTCGGTGGAGCTCCATGTGGTGCCGCGAAATATGTTAGGGGTGTGCCGAAAGGGGTGCGGGGACACTGTGCAACACCGTGCGTATGCGGCCTTCGTTGGAGCTCCCTGTGGGGCGAGGTGCGTATCGAAATAGACACGTGGAGAGCAGAGGCAGGAGCAGTTAGGAGCTGCCCCTCTCGCTTCGCCTTCCTCCCTCCGCTCTCCGGCACTCTCCGTCATCCCCCGTCGTCGGCGATGACGGCGCACTGTCAACCGAATGCGGATGGACCATCGCTTTTTGCTCGCCTCCTTCGAGATTTCTTCGCCGTTGCCCAGGTACAGGCGGTATGCCGAGTTCGCCGAGACGCGAGCGGGTGGCGCTCAAGGGGAGCACATTCTCGGTGTTGAAGACGACTCGTACGAGGCATCCGCCCGAGCAGTGGGGTGGGAAAGCTCCGCCCTCCCACCCCCATTCCCTCGCACATCCTATCCTGTGACCCCACCCTGCCTTCCCGTCCGTCCCCCGCGCCCTTCGCTTACCTCATCCCCCCCCCCCCGCTTCGCCTCGCCCCACCCCGTCCCCACTCTCACCAACCCTCCCGCCTCTCTCGCTCTCTCCTTCTCCTCCTCCTCCTCCCGCCTACCTCCTCGACCCTCTACTCCTCCTCCTGCTCCTCCTTTCCCTGCCCCCTGTCCCTCCCCATTCTGCATCCTCCAAGCTTCCGAACCTCTGCTGCGATGCGTTGTGACTAGACCTTCGACGGACATCTTACCGTTGCGACGCAAACTCTCAGGCACGCCCAACAAGGACGCGAAGACGAGACGTGGATGCGATGGCGGAGGAAAGAACTGCAATCATACGAATGTCCTCCTCGTCCTCCTATTCGATCCCTGTTCCCCTTCATCTTCTCTCGTCTTCTTTCTCCTCTCTTTGCTCTCTCGTCCGTCCTCTGTTCCTCCCTGTTCCGTCTCTCAGGTTGCTCCCTGCGCTCCTCGCCCACCCGCTCGCCGTTTCTCGTGCTCAAGCCTGCTGGCATCCTGCGGCACCGTACGAACTCCTGCGTCTGTAGAAGAGGAGGAGGAGGAGAAGGAGGAGGAGGAGGAGGAGGAGGAGGAGGAGGAAGAGGAAGAGGAGAGGGAGGAGGAGAAGGAGTAGGAGGGGGAGGAGGAGGAGGAGGTCGAGCAGGAGGAGGAGGAGGAGGAGCAGGAGGAGGAGGAGGACGAGGAGGAGGAGAGGGAGGAGGAGGAGGAGGATGAGAGGGGACGACGGTTGCTGGCCTGTTGCAGCAGTTGGGAACGAGTTTCCTTGCCATCCGTGTTGCGCGATGTCAGGGGCTCGCCGCTCGCCCACCTCCACCCACGAATCCCACATGCGTGGGCAAGACATGGGGGGCGCCACCACGACGGGAGTCAGTGTCAGGCGATCGCAACCATGGATCAAGGGGGCGTGGATTAGCGACGGGCCCCGCTTCCATGGGAAACCGCAGATCTCCGCCGCCGAGCGAGGCGGCACCGGCCGCATTTTGGGGAGGGCGCCTCCCCTGATCCATGGATTGGTCGACCGCGCGCCGCATCCATGGATCGCTAATCCCTGGTTGCGCGCCCCCGGAAGTGGGAGCGTGCAGGTCGTTCGTGAGGGTGCCCTTCCACAGCATGGCGGCGAGGGCTGTGTTTTTTTGTCCGCGTGGTCCGACTGGTTGTGCAGTCACTGTGTCGCCCGCATCTCCCGTGTCGTATTGCGCGAACGGTTCGGACGGTTATCCCTGTTGGCAGATGTGGGATCGAAAGTAAGCGGCATTGAGCCTGCTCAACGTTCGAATCGCGACAATGCATCCAGCGGCGCGCGCGACTTGCTCATCAGCTCGTTGCGGGCACTACAGTTTGGTCGTTCCGTGTTGATTTGTCATGTGTAAAGCCAGAAGCAAAACAGTGGGCGTTGCTTGTTTGTTAGTTTGGCTCAGCAGTTTCACGCGTTCGTCAGCGTAGCTCAGCATATTGCCGACTCCTGTTTTGGGAGTGTCTTTAGATGCTGTCCATCCATGCCTTCAACACCGAATGCTCCACATAGTACGATCTTCTGTGCATGCCTACGTCCACGGCCTCCGCTGGACCACTGCGGCAGTTTGCTGGAGAAGTGCAGCTCATTGTGCCCAGGCCGCCTCCTCGAAACCCTGCGCGGATGCCATAGGGCTGCAATACCACATCCACGAGAGCGCTTTCGTCGGCCTCCTACCCGCAACAAACACCACATGGAATCGCGAATCGTTGGTGGCCCTTGTCTTATTCATTGTTTTGCCGATCGGCGCGGGCCCTCGCACCCCCGCCCCTCCCCCCCCATGGAGTAGATCTTGGCTGCTTTGGGCGCTTGTTTCAGGCAGATGGAGCCTCCTCCAAGGACGCACTGCCGCACGCAGTCGCACCGAGCAGAGGTGCGGAGCCGGACCCCATCCGCTCCCCCCCCTCTTCGCTCAATGCCGAAACGGCGAAAATAAAAAACTCACAATTCGCGAATCCTTGATGGGTTTCCGCCATTGTGGCCGCGCCCCAACCTCGGTTGGTCAATTTGCACGTTGCCCTGGTTCAGCTCGTCGGCAGCCGCAGCCTGCATCCCCCCACCCGCCGGTCCGCCGTGGTGATGCCTGAGGCCCCGCCGGCTTCAGGTAGTTCGTCTTTGCGCGGCTCGCTCTGACTTGACTCGCCGCTTGTGCTCTCGCCTACGGCTGCTGACTAAAAATCAGGAGGGAAAGAAACACACAGACACAATTAATCGTCGATCCCCGAGAAAATATCGGAAAATATTGGAAGTGGGGGGGAAGACAAAAACCAAGAAAATATCGGAAATATGCGGAATATTGTTATTTGTGTGTATTTATTTGTGTGTCCTTGGGCCCCTTGAAAAAAGAAACGCTGATGGGCCCATCCTCCTCCTCTCCCCATCCATCCTCTCCTCCACTCCAGGACGAGACGACGATCGGCGGCGGGCCCGGCGGGGCAGTGTGCATGGGGGCAGGACCTCTCGGCAGGCGGGGCGGGGGCTTCTCTCGGGAGCCCCTCGCGCCCTCTGAGCACATAAGAAAATCCGATGTGGGCTTCGGAGAAGGGGGCACGAGGCTTCTCGACGAAGGCATCTATACACCACCACCGTGCCAGGCCAGGGCCATCCTGGGCCCCAGGACGGTGTATAGACCCTCTTGGCCTCGGCCAGGAGGGCGTATACACCATCCTGAGGCCCAGGATGGCCCTGCCTTGGCACGGTGGTGGTGTATAGATGCCTTCTGCGAAAGCATGCACGAGTGCTCCCGAGGAGCCCCGCCGCCCTCTGAGCAGGCCTGCCCCCTCGAGAGGTTCTCTTTTGTATTCTCTCTCTATTCTTGCTGTTTATAAGCAAGTAAGTATCAACATCCCTCTGGGCCATAACGCGCGTTCTGCGCCCTGTCCTCCCCCCTCCCTCCCCCCCCATAACGCAACGCTCCCCCCCCCTCAGTGCGTCCCCGGCACTGCCGCAGTGCCGCACTGCGTCCGGCACCACTGTCTGGGGGGTTCGGTGGAGGTCCCCATGGGGCCACGAACCGTGTGAGGGGTGTGCCATTATGGGGGTGGAGCCGCATGCGAACTTTGCCACTGGGGCCTCCGGTAGGGCTCTTTATGGGGCCGGAACCGTGTGAGGGGTGTGCCGAAATGGGTGTGGGGACGCATGCGGGCACACCCTCTGGGACCTTCTTTGGAGCTCCCTATGGGGCCGCGAAACGTGGGAGGGGTGTGCCAAAATGGGTGTGGGGACGCATGCGGGCACACCCACTGGGACCTTCTTTGGAGCTCTCTATGGGGCCACAACGTGTGAGGGGTGTGCCGAAATGGGTGTGGGGGACGCATGCGGGCACATCCACTGGGACCTTCGGTGGAGCCTCTTATGGGGCCACGAAACGTGTGAGGGGTGGTGCCGACATGGGTGTGGGGGACGCATGCGGGCACACCCACTGGGACCGCCAGTGTACCCCTATGGGGCTACGAAGCGTGTGAGAGATGTACCGGCATGGGTGTGCCATGGGGGCCGGACTCGTGTGAGGGGTGTGCTGATATGGGTGTGGGAGACGCATGCGGGCACACCCACTGGGACCTTCAGGGGAGCCCCCTATAGGGCCACGAAACGTGTGAAGGGTGTGCCGAAATGGGTGTGAGGGAAGCATGCGGGCACACCATTTGGGACCTTCGGTGGAGCTCCCTATGGGGCCAGGACACGTGTGAGGGGTGTGCCGACATGGGTGTTGGGGACGCATGCGGGCACACCCACTGGGACCTTCAGTGGAGCTCCCTATTGGGCCAGGAAGCGTGCGAAGGGTATGCCGAAATGGGTCTCGGGGAAGCATGCGGGCACACCATTTGGGGCCTTCGGTGGAGCCCCCCTTAGGGCCACGAAACGTGTGAAGGGTGTGCCGAAATGGGTGTGTGGGAAGCATGCGGGCACACCATTTGGGACCTTCGGTGGAGCTCCCTATGGGGCCACGAAACGTGTGAAGGGTATGCCGAAATGGGTGTGAGGGAAGCATGCGGGCACACCATTTTGGACCTTCGGTGGAGCTCCCTATGGGGCCAGGACACGTGTGAGGGGTGTGCCGACATGGGTGTTGGGGACGCATGCGGGCACACCCACTGGGACCTTCAGTGGAGCTCCCTATGGGGCCACAAAACGTGTGAAGGGTGGTGCCGACATGGGTGTGGGGGATGCATGCGGGCACACCCACTGGGACCTTGGGTGGAGCTCCCCATGGGGCCAGGACTCGTGTGAAGTGTGTGCTGATATGGGTGTGGGGGACGCATGCGGGCACGCCCACTGGGACCTTCGGTGGAGCTTTCCATGGGGCCATGAAACGTGTGAAGGGTGTGCCGAAATGGGTGCGGGGGACTGCATGCGGGCGCTGCCGCTGGGGCCTTCGCTGTTGCTCCCCACGGGGCCAGGACAAGGATACGTTTGAGGGGTATGCTGAAAAGGATGATGATGCTGCTGCTGCTGCTGCTGCTGCTGATGATGATGATGATGATGATGATGATGATGATGATGATGATGATGATGATGATGATGATGATGATGATGACGAGGCTGATACTGATGATGATGATGATTATGATGATGATGATGATGATGATGATGATGATGAGGAGGAGGAGGAGGAGGAGGAGGAGGAGGAGGAGGAGGAGGGAGAAGGAGGAGGAGGAGGAGGAGGAGGAGGAGGAGGAAGAGGAGGAGGGGGAGAAGGTTGAGGATGAGGATGAGGATGAGGGTGAGGATGAGGATGAGGATTAGGATGAGGATGAGGATGAGGATGGATGATGGAGGAGGGGGAGGAGGAGGAGGAGGAGGAGGAGAGGAGAGGAGATGAGAGGAAAACGCGGGGCACCGTCTCCCGAAAACAAGGACCCGACGCCACAGGATGGCGGAGGAAAGTGAGCTTCTCCCCCTATCTCCTCCTGGCATCGCCGCCGAGCGGAGGCGGACGGGGGGCACGGGGCGGGTGGCGGAGCAAGACGGTGGGAGGCCCCCGCGGGCGGGGGGGGGTGCCGACGCCCCTCAGGCGGTCCTGAGCACCGTGCCCCCGCCGGCGGCTGGCCGATGCCGCTGCGCCGCGCGCGCGCGCTGGGCGCGGGGCGGCCCTCCTGATCACCGAGGGCCAAGGAGCCCCTAACTCGGAGGAGGAAAAGGTAGCAATACCGCTACCCTTGGCCCGTTTCCCCTCCTTTGGGCCTCCCGGGGGGCCCTCCTCGCCATCGCTGGAGTCTCCTTCAAGTTCTGGTCAGAACGCACCCCAGGAGAGGTCCAGGGAGTAGCGGTATCGGTACCTTTTGGCTTCCCCACTAACCTGAATAACATAGTGGAGACATGGCTTCACCGAGGTCCCAGTCTTTGCATTAGGGATGGTAAGTCTGGGCGGTCTGGTTTGATACGTTGTCAGAAAAGACCACCTGTCCCAAAACTTGTTGGCCTCCTAACTTAGGTCGCCTCCCAAAGGGTCCCGGGTCCTTTTGTTGCTGATCAGCTGAGGCACCCTGCCTCTTGGAAGACCTTATGCCTTTATAGTTGCCCTCTGGGGAGCGTTGAACTCCTCGTTTTGTGATGCTTGGTTGTGACACCCATGTTTCCCGCGCTGCCGCCTGGGTCGGAGCCTCGGTTGTGGCAGCGCGGCTACTTGTCGAGGAGCCTCTCTTGTGCCGCTGCAGTCTGTATTCCCCACTGGTGCAGATAGCTGGATTTGAGTGGAGGAGCCGTCCGAGGCAAAAGTGGGAATCCTTTGACGAAGGGCAGGACCTTTCCAAGATGTCCTCTGCCTTTCGCAAAGAGCTTCTCCCCTTGCCGAGGAAGCGCAAACAGGGGTCCAAATCGAAAGTGCTTGGCTTGTTGGCAGGTCTCCGCTTCCGTGAGACAGAAGTTGGCGCACAGCGTCGCAAGGTCACGCGGCAGTGTCTCGACGTTCTGGGGAGACTCATTACTCCCCGTCCGTGCCCGCAAGCACGATCCACGGAGTGTGTGTGTTGTGTGTGTGTGTGTTGTGTGTGTGTATGTGTGTGTGTGCGTGTGTACGTGAGTGAGTGTGTTTGTGTGTGCGTGTATGTGCGCGTGTTTGTGTGTGTATGTGTGTGTGTGTGTTTGTGTGTGTATGTGTGTGTGTGTGTTAGTGTGAGTGTGTTTGTGTGCTTGTTTGTTTTTGTGTGTGCGTTTGTGTGCGCGCGCGTGCGTGCGTGCGTGCGTGCGTGCGTGTGTGTGTGTGTGTGTGTGTTTGTGTGTGTGCGTGTGTTTCTGTGTGTGTGTGTGTGCGTGTGCGTGTGTGTGTGTGTGTGTGTGTGCGTGTGTGTGTGTGTGTGTGTGTGTGTCTCTTCCTTCGCCGTCCGAAAGCACCGCTGCGGATTTTGTTTTTCAGATTTCGACATCCCGGGGCCTGCACGGGGTCCTTGGGGGCCGTCAAGAGCCGACCCGGGGGCGACGAACCAGTCCCAGGGATGCGGTCGAGAGCCCGTTGGGGCCGAGGATGTTCTTGTTGGGACGCGTTGTTCGACGTTGCCTCTGGTCTTAACCAGTTTCGGAACACTCCGTTCTAGGCCTCCTAGATGGGGTCGGAGTAGATGGGATCGGAGGATAGCGCCGCATCGCCGATGCATCGGCGATGCGGCTTGATGCGGGACCCGATGTTCTCCACGCCGATTGCGCCGATGCCTTGCCGACGTCGCCGATGCATCGCCGATACAGCGGCGATGGTATCGCCGATGCATGGCCGATGCGGCGCGATCCTCCGACCCCATCTGCTCGAACCCCTTCCAGGAGGCCTCTATCCGCGGTAGGCTCATACGGAGGCTGGGACCTTGGGCCCCTGCCCAAAAAGACGGTGGACACACGGTCTCGCCCGTCCTGGCGGACGCTCCTCCTCTCCAGCTCTCCGACGTCGGCAGCCTTCCAGAGCGCGCCCACCCGATCTCTCGACCGCCTCCTCGCGGACGGGCTGTGCATCGCATCGCTTCGTCAGCGGCACGAGTGAGCTGATTGGACTGCCACGGGGCGCCTTTACATTTAAGTCGGGCATGTCCCTTGTCGTCGTCCTCCACCGGAGGGGTCATCGCGCCAACATCGCAGAGCGGATTTCGTCCGGAAAACAATGGGATGATCCCGGATTGCCATGGAGAATGTCGTTCCAGATTTCGAAGCGAATGTCGTGCGGTTTTTTGCCAGGAAAACGAATGAAGGCTACTAAACATCCACGTGAAATCCGCTTCGTTTTTCGCTCGCCGGCTCGTGGTTCTGCATGGACAGAAATCCACGCACAACCCGCTGCAGCACGTCTGCAAGGTCGGTGCAGGGAGATTAGGGGCGGTCTAATTGACCCCCCAGCAAACCATCCCCTTCCGTGACGCCCCCCTCGCCTTGCCCCAAGACGTGTGTGTGCGGCCGCAGGGAAGCTTGAGAGGCGGTGGGGAGGTCACGGAAGGGGAGGTGATGGGCCTGTTTCTCACCACCACCACCATAAGTTGGAGGGGGGAAGGAAGTGGAGGAAGAAGAGGAGGAAGATTAGGAGGAGGAGGAGGAGGAGGAGGACAAGCTAGGTGCGCTCGCGTCATATCTGACGTCCTACCCCTCCCTCCCATCCCTTACCATGGCGCTGATTTTCTCTATCCGCGGACGCGTGTCGTAGCGGACCTGTGGCTCCGCGCGCGCGTGCGTAGTGGGTGGTGGTGCACGTGCGTGCGTGCGTGCGTGCGTGTGTGGTGGTTGTGGTGGTGGTGGTGGTGGTGGTGGTGGGGGTGGTGGTGGTGGTGGTGGTGGTGGTGGTGGTGGTGGTGGTGGTGGTGGTGGTGGTGGTGGTGGTGGTGGTGGTGGTGGTGGTGGTGGTGTGCTGGTGGTGGTGGGTGGTGGTGGTGGTGGTGGTGGTGGCGGGCGGCGCGGTGGTGGCGGGCGGGGGCGCGCGAGAAAAAGGCCCGCGCTGGGGCGAGAACGCCATCCTGAACGACGGAGGCCAAACACCGATCCGAAAATGAGGCCCACGCTGCAGCGGGAGCACGATTCGGAACGATTCGGGAGCAGAAATGAGGCCGGCGCCTCAACGAGAGCAGCATTTTGAGAAAAAATGACGCCGGCGCCTCAGCGAGAGTCGTTTCCCGGGATTTCCCGGGAATCTTGTGTGTAAAAAAACAGTACGCGGAGGGTGCGCGGCCATCACCCGGACGCCATCAGGGGAAGAGGGAGAGTATTTCCATATTGATTAATTGTGGAGGAGGAGGAGGAGGACCCCTTCCCCCTCCTACTTGTGGTGGTGGCGGTGGAACACAAGCCCACCAGGATGGTTTTCCAGGGGTCGGTTAGGCCGCGCCCGAAGCGGAAGGGGCCTCCGCGCGGCCACGGGCGCTCTCTGCGAGCGCGCGGCGTCCGAGGGCGGGCGCCTCGCCCTGTCGCGCGCGCGGCGGTGGAGGACTGGCACCCCTTCTACGACGCCCGCGGGGTGAAGGCGCGGCGGGGGCGCGGTCTTCGAGTAGAGGGAGAGGGAGGAGGATCGAGGATCGAGGGGGACGAGGAGGATCGAGGATCGAGAAGCAGGAGGGTCGAGGGGCGATGTGGACAAGGATCGATGTGGATGTCGAAGGGCCTTTGGGGGGAGGGGGCTCGATCAGGAACGAAAGAAGGACGTTCTGAGCATCCTGGATGGGGTCCGAGTAGATGGGGCCGGAGGATCGCGCCGCATCGCCGACGCATCGGTGAATCATATCGATGCGGAGCTCGTTTTTCTCTACGACGGCGTCGCCGATGCATCGCCGACGTCGCCGATGCATCGCCGGTGCGTCGCCGATACATCGCCAGTGCGTCGCCGATGCATCGCCGGTGCGTCGCCGATACATCGCCGATGTATCATCTTCTCCGATCTCATCTACGGGCTTTAGAATTTCAACTACAGAATTGCTTTACTCCCACATTGGTGTCCCGCCGAGACGGCAAGAGACGCGAAGACGGTTTGCAGATTTACGGGGCATGGTACGCATTTTGTCGCACGCTCGGCGGGAACATCAGGTTTGGGGCAAAGGAGCTCTGCAGTCGATCCTCTGCTCGAGTCCTCCGCCCTCGTCGCCTGGCGTTGCGTAATTCAAGGGCGAGAAGGAGGACGCTTTGTGGGCCCCGGAAACGGCAGGGCCGTTTTTTCATCGTCAATGTCCCTTGAAAATGGAAACGGCAAAAAAACGGCGACCGGAAACGGCAACAAAAACGGCTCCAGGATTGGAACCGGAGCCGGAACCGGTCAAAAAACGGCGACGGAACCGGTAAAAAAACGGCGTCGGAACCGGCAACAAAAACGGCAAATCGGAGCCGGTAAAAAAACGGCCCTGTCGTTTCCAGGGCCCACTAAGGGGGCGAGAAGGAGGACGCACAAAGTGCACGAGTCCACGCCGGTGGTGAAGGAGCGCCTGGCGCGAGCGTGCGTACCACGAGGCTGGTCTCGCGGACCGGGGGGCTACAACTTCATGTTGGGCGCGTGCGTCCTCTGTGGGCTCCCTCGTGGTAAGTCGGGCCTGTCCCTCTACAGGAGGAAAGCTCAAAAGCAGTCAAACAATCATCGGGGGACGATTTTTTCTGAGTATCTGTGAGCATTTGTTTGAGCATCTCTGAGCTATTTGTAGTGTTCGCCCAGAGTCCGCCTGTAGGAGGACACGGCCGACCTACCCCTGGCGACGGGGGGGTGATAAGTGGGGGGGGGGAAGGGTGCACCTTCGGAGCCCCAAGGGGGCCCCCTGGGGCCCAAGGGGTGCACGGAGGGTGCCCGTTTCGTCGCCGTTCCCGTTCCCCCCCCCCCCACTGCAAATGAAGCCACGCTCGGCGCTGTAGGCCCTCGTCCCGCTGCTGGGCTCTGGTGCCGACGGCCGCCGCGCATCCGACCCTCCCGCTCCTTGGCATCCCCACTCTCTCGCCTCGTGCTCTCCTGCTTCCTTCTGCCACCTTCTCACCGTTCTCTCCTCCTGCTCCTCACCATTCCCCTTCCCCACTTTTGGGGGGGAGGGAGGAGGACGGATGACAGAGTAGGAGGTGGAGGATGAGAACAAGTAGGAGTGCGATGCGGGTGCGACTCTTCCCCTTTTGCCTGCTTCTCCTTCTCCTCCCCCTCCCCTTCGTCTCCCCTCCTCTTCCTGCTTCCGTCTGAACGTCGCATGAGAATCAATCAGAGCGTGTTTTTTTATTCCAGGGCGATGACGGGCGTCACCGGCGGGGGCGGGCAAGGGGCCCGCGACGTCACGTTTCGCGCCGGCGGCGTCTGGGAATGCCCAGGAATGACCGAAGACGGGTAGGAGCAGCATGTAGGTGGCGGTCTGTACCGCAGCGCCTGTGTGAACCACAGTGCCTGCGTACACCACAGCGCCTGCGTACACCACAGCGGCCGTGTGCAACACAGCACCAGAGTACACCGCGGTGCCTGCGTGCACCACAGCGCCTGTGTGCACCACGGCGCCTGCGTGCACCACAGCCACCGCGTGAAGCAGAGCACCACTGCTGCAGATATATCAGGAGGGAAAGGAACACACAGACACAATTAATCGTCGACTCCCGGCAAAGTATGCAAAAATATGGGAAGTGGGGGGGAAGACAAAAACCCAATACATATGGGAACATATGGGGGATCCTGTTATTTGTGTGTATTTGTTTGTGTGTCCTGGGGCCCCTTCAGTATAGAATGTGTCAAGGAATCCACATGGCAACCTGCAGCTCCTGTGGATGCCACACGCAAACGGAGCCGTCTTGGGACCTTGGGGGCGCCCCAGTGGGCACCCGAGAGGGCTTCGGAGAACGGCCCCGGTCCCGAGCCGTGCGGGGGTCCCCTCCTGGGTCTCAAGAGTATGCGCCACCACCACCTCCAGTTCCCCTGCCCCCTCCTCCTCCCCCTCCCCCCCTCCTCCCCTCCTCCTCCCCTCCTGGGTCCCAAGAAGATGCGCCACCACCACCTCCAGTTCCCCTCCCCCCCTCCTCCTCCCCTCCTTCTCCTCCCCTCCTCCTCCTCCTCCTCCTTCTCCTCCTCCTCCTCCTTCTCCCTCCTCCTCCTCCTCCTCCTCCTCCTCCTCCTCCTCCTCCACACCACCACCCTCCTCCTCCCCTCCTTGTTCCTGGGAGAAGGGTGGGGCTAGGAACGTGCGGGTGGTGCTCAAAGATAGTTAAACAATAGTCAGGGGACGACTGTTTGAGCATTTTTGGTGATTTTGGAGTGTTTGTTTTGACTCTTTATGTTTCGTTCAAAATCCCTCTGTAGGAGAACACCCCCGACTCAAGAAACGGGTGGATGGAGGAGAGAGGGATGGACAAGCGAGGTGCGCTCGCGCCGGATCTGTTGTCCTGCCCCTCCCACCCGTCTTTTCTCACTGCACCGGCTTGGTATCCAACTACCCGCCGACGCGTGCTGTAGCGGACGTGGCATTCCTGAAAATGACCCAATCGTGTTGTGCGTAGTCGGGAAAGGGGAGTTGCGTAATTGGAGAAGGAGGAGGAGGAGGAGGAGGAGGAGGAGGAGGAGGAGGAGGAGGAGGAGGAGGGGGGTTGGCGGACGAGCAGGAGGATGAGCAGGAGGAACGGAGGATGAGGAAGGATGGGACGAGGATGAGCAGCAGCAGGGAACGAGTGGTGTGAACAGGAGGACCCGTGGAACGCGGATGGGGGGAAAGGAGGGGGGCGACAACGATCAGGAAGGACTCGGTCCCAGGAATTCGGCTCGCGCTGTTGCGAGAGTGCTATTCTGAACACAGAGAGCGAAGTACCGATCCTCATAATGCGGCCCATTCTACAGCGGCAGCAACGTTTTGAAGGACCGAAGAAGAGCAGATTGTTTAAAAGCATGGGGTTTATCATTTCATTGAGCTTTTGTGCGTAGATAGCAATGCGCGTAGAGGGCGGGACAATTTCCGCGCAGAGTCAGGGGAGAAGGGAGGATAGTGGTATTCATATTGAGTAAGTGAGAAGGGGGTAGGACTGGGACGTGGGGGGACGAGGGAGGAGGGGGGAAAGGATGGGAGGAGGACCATAAACACACACACACACACAAGGGGAGGAGCGAGGATGGATGAGCAAACAGAGGGTGATGATGATATCATGAGGAGGAGGAGGAGGAGGAGGAGGAGGAGGAGGAGGAGGAGGAGGAGGCGAAGTAGGATGCGCAGGAGGAGCTCCGCCCCCCCCGCCGCTCTCGAATCTCCGTCTTTCCCCTCCCTCTTTCCCTCTCGCCCCCGCTCGATGAGACCCCCAGACCTCTTCTGGGCCGTGCTCCGGCATCCGAGGGCGGACCTGGCTGCGGCGATGCGAGGGCCCCACCAGGGCCCAACGATGTCAAAACTGTAAGATCCCCCTCCCCCCTCGTGCCTTCCTGACCCCGCCCCGCTCCCGACCCCGCGCTGCCTGCGCCCTCGCCGCCTTCGCCGGCGCGACCGCAGTACTTCCACAACTTCAACACCGGCGAGCGCATGCGCCAGAGCCCAGAGCAGATGCCCAATGAGGCCGACGTTTCCCCCCCTCCCCCCCCCCTTCCCCCCCCCCTCGTGCGCTCCGCGCCACTAAGACAATACGATGGGGAGCAGGCGAAGAAGGGGGGGGGGGACGATGTGTGAGGAGGAGGAGGAGGAGGAGGAAGAGGAGGAGGAGGAGGAGGAGCGCGTCTTCGCGTCCTCTTGTCCCTCCCTTGGTTCGCGCGCGGCCCCTCGGCTTCGCCCCCCCCCCCCCCCCCCCATCTCGGTCCCCTCCGTGCCGCCCTTCCCTTTCCCTCCGTCGTCTTCCCTTCGCCAGCCCCACCACTCGATCGGGCCAATTTCCCTCGCACACCTGCAGGGTGGCGCGGGGGAGGGGGGCGGGGGGGGGCGTGGGCCGCACCCGGACTGCGGGACAGAGGCCGCCACAGCCTCAGCCTCGGAAGAGGGAGAAGGAAGAGGAGGAGGAGGAGGAGGAGGAGGGCAAGGAGAGGGAGGAAGATGAGGAGGGCGAGGAGGAGGAGGAGGAGAAGGATGAAACTATTGAGACGATCGACTGGCGGGCGCACCAAGATGCAGGAGGGGGTGGGTGTTAGAAAACGGAGGGCAGGAGGAGGAATAGAAGTTGGAGGTGGAGGAGGAGGAGGAGGAGGAGGAGGAGCAGGAGGAGGAGGAGGTGGAAGAGGAGGGAACCAGAGAGAAGGAGGAGAGAGGGGGGAGAAAGGAGGAAAGGAACACTACTGCGCCAGGAAGAGGAAGAGGAGGAGGAGGAGGAGGAGGAGGAGGAGGAGGAGGAGGAGGAGGAGGAGGAGGGAGGAGGGGGAGGGGGAGGAGGAGGAGGAGGAGGAGAGGAGGAGGAGGAGGAGGAGGAGGAGGAGGAGGAGCAGGAGGAGCAGGAGGAGGAGCAGGAGGAGCAGGAGGAGCAGGAGGAGCAGGAGGAGCAGGAGGAGCAGGGGGAGGGAGGATTAGGAGGAGGAGGAGGAGGAGGAGGAGGGCGAGGAGGAGGAGTAGGAGGAGGAGGAGGAGGAGGGCGATAAGAAGGAGGACGCGGAGGAGGAGGAGGAGGAGGAGGAGGAGGAAACTATTGAGACGATCGATCGGCGCGGCGCACCGAGGTGCAGCTTGGGGATGGGGGTTAGAAATCGGGGAGCAGGAGGAGGAATCGAAGTTGGAGGGGCAGGAGGAGGTGGAGGCGGAGGCAGGAGGCAGGATGCAGGAGGATGCGTTGCATACAGATTCTGGGTGGCCTTGACCCATGGGGGGGAGGGGACAGCAAGGCAGCGCGGCAGGCAGGAAGAACTACACCCCTGGTGGGCAGTCTGGACATGCTTGTCGCCGTGAGACGGGCAATGGTGTTGGGACCCCGCGGGCGGAGGGGCACGAGGGACTCCGAAGGGGCCCACGAGTGGAGCTTGGACATCTTGGCCAGGCTACTGCGCGCCCAGAGGGCTGGTTGAACGTGGAGGGTTATGCAGGGCTCATTTCGACTCCTCCGATTCGATTCGATTCGATTGCGACGGTTTCCGATTCCGATTCGATTCGATTTCTGATTCCGGTGTGAGATCCGATTTCTCAATGGAGGCCTGTTAGCCTGCCGATTTCTGCCGATCCGACTTTTCCTAACTCGGCTGCCGGTTTCCGTCGATCCGATTCATGTCGATCGCCGATCCGACTTGTCGATGCGATTCTGGGCTCTCCTCGGCATGGAGGGAAGAGGCATGCATGGAGCCGATGGTACGCTACACACTGAGGTGGAGGGAACGCCGCCGACGGCTTCCCTGCGTCCCTCCAAAGTCCCTCACTACTGTTCCCCGGGTTTTGGACCTCCAGGAGCCATCCAGAGCCGTCCCAAAACAACGTGCCAGGGACAAGCGCATGCATACTTGTTAGACCAACCGAAGGCCGTTAAGGAGGTTTTTGGTTGGGGAGCCAATGGCGGGACAACCATCGGGTCACCGTCTCCATTAATCGATCAACCTCAGTCGCTCTCACCATCTATCGGCCTGACGATCTACCGATGTATCAGATGTCGTTGTCACTACCTACTGGTCTCACCAGTCATCTATCTACCAGTCGCAATCGATCTATATGCATCCACTTGTCGATACAACATGTACCGTGCATACCCCTATACTCGAATCATCGCTATCACACGGTCTTGATACCAACTATGTGTATACAGCTATCGATCTCTACCGATCTCATTATGCACCCGCGTCCTTCGCTAGAGCACCCAGCCACCGGATGAGCCTAGTTTGTGTCTCCCACCGCACTCGCAACTGCCTCTGCTCGATAGCTCGCTTTGCTCAGCCTTGCGCAGTTTTGGCGACGTACTTCAGCCCCTATCTTTCCTCTGGCCAGCATTCCTGTCAGGAGGGGGAAAAACGCACAGACACAATTAATCGTCGATTCCCAGGAAAAGATGGGGAAATATGGGAACTGGGGGGTGGGGGACGACAGAAACCCAGAGCATATTGGAAACTATGGGGAACCATTTTGTATGTGTGTATTTGTTTGTGGGTCCCAGGGCCC